CCCAAAACCTGATGTTCCCCTAGAAAGAGTGAAAAGTGAGACAAGTAGAAAAATGTTAATTAATAGAAATCAACATAATTAGATTAAATAAACTTGTTGCTTTTGTGGAGACATGCCCTAGGGCAAAAGGTAATTGGGACATTGACCGTGCACTGTGCAAATTCTTCTTGACAATCACCTATTGGGAAAGAAAAATTCAGAGTTCCTAATATGTGGCACTCCTCAGATCACGCGGCTAGTTTTTCTGTGCACTAACTATGATTTTTCTGTATGTTAAACTTGTATTCACCTACATTCAGACGTGGTTTGCCAGTAGGATTTATTACTCATGTTGCCCATCTAACTCCATAGTATCATTATATTCATTTGGTGAATGCTTTGTAGGATTTCAAAATTGACCCGTTTATGCAGCAACAAATTCTTTGTGGCATTTAGAACCTTCCCATTTTGTCTGTGTATGATTTAAATATTATGCTAGTAAATGGAGTTTCTTCCAGTCTTCATTTATGTACGATTATTTTGAATTCTCCTTGATTAATAATCAGAGAGAATGGGTCGTGGAGTCAGTGCTGGTGGGGGACAAAGTTCCTTGGGATATCTTTTTGGAGGTGGAGAGACCCCTAATGCTCCCCCCAAGGGCTCAAACAACGGGAGTTCTCCTAAGCCTTCTGTTACTCCCCAATCTGTGGATAACAGTAAGCAGACTCCTGCAGGCATACCTGGTAACACCATAAACAACTACCTTCGAGCAGATGGACAGAATTGTGGCAACTTTCTAACGGTACCATACTGTTTATACCATCGTTGCATATTTTTTCCGTGCTGAGTCCTAAAAGTGAAGTTTAATGCAAATAGAGAAGAGATTAGTCCCTCTAAACATAATAGTCTTGAGCACAATTACTTGATGCCTTGGCCTCATATCATATATATTTCTCAAGCATTGATATACTGTTTGGTTCCCACAAATGTGAGGTACATTTTGGTTGGCATATTAGAAGTTGAAATGTCTCACAATTTTTTGTACACTTAATAGTTTTTCTGTGAAGTCAATGCTCCAGTAGTTTATTTAAATACAAAAGCAACCCCAATGCATAAAGATGGAAAATTCGAATTTTCTATGGTATGTGGCTGCTCTGGTTTTACATATGATTACGTTGATCTTATTAAACGGTGCTTTAGATTCACATGGTCTTTACTGTTTCAGTACATGCTTGCTTTACAAGCACTGAACACGGCCACATACCAGTCAGAATTAGTTTGTATGAACATTTTTAAAGTTACTTTGAAAGTAACTCTTACCTTGCGGATAAAGTAACTCATTTCCAACTTTCACGACTAAAAAAGATTTAGCTATTTTAAAACTTACAAATTAACTTTTTAAGCTTAGCCAAACATGTTCATGGTCTCTTTTCCTTTCCCTTCTCCTTTCCTCCATGATTTTCTTGACAAAAAAGGGGGATAGTGTATAATATTTCACAATTCTAAATATCGGTACATCTTTTGGTTTAACATTATGTGTGCATTCTTCAATCTAAACTCTGCTCCTGATTGTTCTTTGATTCAGGAGAGACATGCTACTCCATGTAGGTTTATCTTTTCTTCTTATCTGACGATTAATTCTTGTAATTCTTATCATATGGGTTACAGGAACGCCCTTCGACCAAGGTCCATGCTGCACCTGGTGGTGGCTCTTCCTTGGGTTACTTATTTGGTGATGGCAGCAAATGATGCCCTCATTCTTGAAAGTGGTTTGATTGCTTCAACGAATGCTTAGAATGTTTGGTCTGTGTGGTTGCTTTATTGAATTTTGTTACTGGGTGTAATCATCAAAAAAACAAGCAAGACAAGTATTAAGTGCTATA